TTTAATGATTTAAATCAAGAGGAAAAAATTTCATTGCAAAAAATTTGTACTAAATTTTCAGATGTTTTTCAATTAGAAAATGATCCTTTAAGTGTAACAAATATTTTTGAACAAAAAATTTATCTAAAATCTTCATCATCTCCAGTTTACATCAAACCTTATCGCTTGCCTCATTCACAGAAACATGAAATACACAAACAAGTTGAGGATATGTTAAATAAGGGCATTATTGAGGAAGCTCGTTCTGAGTGGAACTCACCGTTATTAATCGTTCCCAAAAAAGTAGATAATTTAGGTCAAAGGAAATGGCGAGTAGTTATAGATTATAGACAACTTAATAAACGGATTGAGGATGATAAGTTTCCACTTCCTTCCATTCACGAAATCTTAGATTCTTTATCTGGATCTATGTACTTTTCACACTTAGATTTATCCCAAGGATACTATCAGATTAAATTAGATTCAAAAAGTAGACCCTACACAGCATTTTCAACTGACCGCGGACAATACCAAATGACACGAGTACCCATGGGGTTAAAAACATCCCCAAGCGGTTTTTCACGAGCCATGACTTTAGCTATGGCAGGTCTTTGTCATGAAATATGTTTTATTTATCTAGATGATTTAATTGTATTCGGAAACAACTTGATTGAACATAATAAAAATCTTTCAAAGGTATTGCAGAGACTTCGTAAAGTTAAATTAAAATTAAACCCCAATAAATGTGAGTTTTTGCGAAAAGAAATCTTATATTTAGGACACGTCATATCATCACAAGGAGTTTTACCCGATCCATCTAAAATCTCAGTCATTAAAAACTACCCAGAATTAAAAAATGCAGACCAAACAAAACGTTTTGTAGCTTTTGCAAATTATTACAGAAGATTCATAAACAATTTTGCACACATAGCTGCACCGCTTAATAATTTAAGTAGAAAAAATGTACCTTTTGTTTGGACAGACGATTGTCAAAATTCATTTATATCATTAAAAAACAGTTTGGCAAACCCCCCAGTATTACATTATCCAAATTTTTCTTTAGACAATCATTTTACCTTAAGGACTGATGCTTCGGGCTATGCAATCGGAGCAGTACTTTCAAACTCAGACGACAGCCCTATCGCTTACGCCAGTAGAAGCCTCAATAAAGCAGAAAAAAATTATAGTACAATTGAAAAAGAACTTTTAGCTATTGTATGGGCAGTTAAACATTTTAGACCATATTTATATGGACGACATTTCAAAATTTTTACAGACCACAGACCTTTAATTTATCTTTTTGGTATGACAAATCCGAGTAGTAGATTAACAAAATTTAGACTGACCTTAGAAGAATATGACTTTACAATAACATACATTAAGGGTAAAGACAACATTGTAGCGGATGCTTTATCACGAATTGAATTAACATCAGACGAATTAAAAAATATGTCCAGTAAAACAGAAGATCTAATATTTGCAGTAACAACTCGGGCACAAAAAGAACGCCAAAACAAACAAAATGAAGAAACGGATACATTTAATAACTTTTCCAACAAACGGACTGGCCACCCGGGCGTTGTTGAAGTGTTAAAATGTCCTGATGAATTTACCGAATTAAGACCAATTGACAATAAATTAATTAATAAAATGTATAGTAATAAAAACTTTACTTATGTAAATGGAAACTGTATTTATGATAAAAGTTTAAATATTATTTATATTAATGTTCAGGATAGTCGATCAGCGTCAACCTTCGAGGAGTCGTTGAGACACCTGAAAAATATTTTTGAAAAATATAATCTTCCGGAAGTAATAATTATTAGAAATGAAAATAGCGCGCAACTTATATCTAATTTATTAAAAGTTTCCAGTAAAGTTAAAGAATTAAATATTAGAATAACAGTAGTAAAAGGAGTTCAGGTAATAACAGATTTAGAAACTAGACAATTAATTTTAAATGACTATCACATATTACCAACAGGTGGACATGCGGGAATAAAACGATCTTATAACAATGTTAAAAAACATTTTTATTGGAACGGTTTAAAATCTGATGTAGAAAAATTTATTAAAAAATGTGATGATTGTCAACGATATAAATATTCAAAACCTTTTAAAGAACCAATGACGTTAACATCCACTTCTTCATCCGCATTTGAAAAAATTATGTTAGATATTGTAGGACCATTAGAAATGGATTCAGAGAACAATCGTTATATTTTAACATTACAATGTGATTTAACGAAATTTATTGAATGTTATCCAATTCAAAACAAGGAAACAATAACCATTTCCAAAGCTTTTGTAGAAAACTTTATATTAAGATATGGCGTACCACAAATAATATTAACAGATCAAGGGACAGAATTTATGTCAAATATTTTTTCGGAAATATGTAAACTACTTAAAATTAAAAAACTTAATTCAACAGCCTATCACCACCAGACAATTGGTGCATTAGAAAATAATCATAAATCTTTAGGTAACTATTTACGCATTCAAATTTCTAAACATCCAGAAACATGGAGCACATGGATTCCCTTTTGGTCATTTTGTTATAATACTAGTGTACATTCGGAAACCAAATACGCACCGTACGAACTTGTTTTTGGAAAGTCAGCCAGTTTACCATCACACGTTATAAGAAAAATAGACCCCTTATATAATTTTAATGATTATCCCTTAGAGCTTAAATATAGGTTGCAAACAGCTCGGAATGATGCAAAACAAAATTTAATTGAATCAAAAGTTAAAAGAAAAAAACGATTTGATTTAAAAAGTAACAGCATAAATTATAAACCTAATTCCAAAATTATGTTAAAGAATGAAACAGGAAATAAACTAGAAAGCATATTTAAAGGCCCATATTTAGTAATAGAGGATGTAAGTCCTAATGTATTTATTAAATTAGACAATAATAAGGTTATTAAAGTTCATAAGGATAGGATAAAACCATATATAGAATAAGTGTATCAGGTAACTTGTAGTTTTTTATGTAATTATACTACTATAGTAGATATAAATCAGCGCTGATATGTATAAAGGTTAGTAGATAAAATGTATTACGTATAATTAGGATTCTATATAACTTAAAATTAATGGGAATTGTAATAGTTAATAAAAACATAATAGATAATAGATCATATTATTGTATCATTATATTATTTCTTAATGTTAGAATAGCTTAGGATAAGTATTATGTAAAAAAAAAAAAAACAAAAAAAAAATGTAAAAATATATAAAAACATTTTTTTTTTAATTTTTCGGGGAAGGTGTAGTGCAGAGACATAGTTCATTCACTGTACATAATGATGACACTTAACATTCTTAGGTCAATAATCCGCAAAGTGCAAACTGTGCAATAAGCATTATTTGACCACATCATAATTGTAATAAAATATACTATTATTCAATAAACAGAGTTCGATACGAACCTTCAAGCCGACCACCAGCGTTTCATTACCACCCTAATGTAACACCTCACAATGCCTTAAGTCCGGGCATTACAGTGTAAATAAATCCAAAAGCTTTTCCCTTAGTTAAGATATTTACAATTTGAAAACATAACCTAAAATTTAAAAGAAATGCACTAGCTTCTGTCATAAAAGTTGGCAGATTTTGTTTGAATTTACCTTTAGTACAAAAATGAAATAACCAACAATTAATAAAAACGCCAAATTGACAATTTGCATTGTTAATTTTGTCATTTTTGTAATTAAGCTAAATTTAAACAATGCTTGGCAACTTTTTTGAAAGATTTTGGAAACAGTTGTTACCAACCATAACATAATAAATCCACCAGATTAACCTAAAGTTCCTAGTCGATCAGTGGCGTACTTTTTGGTAGGATAAAGGTTATTATAAATTATTTTTAGACTTTGGAATTTAGAAAAAAAAAGTTTCAGGTGCTTCTTTATGGACCCTAAGGAACAACCCATTTTAATATATAAAATTAATTACATAACACCCTGTATATCAAGGTGAACCAAAAGCAAAACTGTTAAAAATAGATGTGACTTGATAATTAAAACTTAATTTAGAACAATATACGGTTTTGCCACTCTACAGAGTGTCTGAAACTTATGGTAAAAAACATATTTTTGTTTAAACCTGTATATTATAAACGTACGTGTATTTTTTAGTAATTTTTATGTGAGCTATTCTCCATTAAGGTATCTAAAATATTCTTTAAAATTTGTTTAAATCCGAAATCAAATAAAAAAGTTATTTGCGATTGAAATTCATCGAAAATTTGTGTGGATCGATTAATTTGCCTGTGAGTGTATCATAGTGTTATTATTAAAAAAACTTCTTATCCAAAACTATCATCGAATACGACAAAATTCTCGAAACAATGATCATTGAGTTGTCCCTCTTTACACGCGCACGAGCCAACTGTAACTAGAGGGGTCGCTACTATCGATAGTAATATCGATAGTTTCGGTAGTTAAAAATGTGATCTGACTATCGATATATCGATAGTTTTCTTTGATATATCGATAGTTATCTTTTTACGCTTTATTTTATTTTAGTTTACAGGGAATGTGGTACAGTCTACAATTAAAAACCTTGTGTAGGCGCTACAGATTAAAGGCCACAAACAGACCTTTAACTAGGTATAGATCGAGAAAGAAGAACATCTGTTAGCGAAGGCAAAGGTTTCTCTGTAGTTTCATTCAGTGCCATCCGAGAGATTATTTTCTAAGTCGGGGCAATTAATCAGTTCTAGACAAAGCAACCTTAAACCAAATTTTAATAAATACATTTAAGCTGTTTTATTTATAGGTCGATAGTTATCGATATATAGATAGTTTAAGTAACAGCACTATCGATTAATTCGATAGTCAGTTTTTCCGATAGTCGACCCCTCTAAATGTAACTTGGTATACAGGTCCACACACAAGTCTGTGGCTACGGCGCATCGGTGAGGAGGCCCAATAATTGTGTCAAACTGTATTGTCATTGAGTAAGATGTTGGGTTCCTTAGTCAATGGTATTGTTCTTTGAACTGAACTTACCTACATATAACTCCGCATCTTCAACAACAGCATCATCGCGCATCACCTAGACCGTCTCCTTGACCGCCCTATGCGCAGAACCGTTGTTTCGCGACGCGAAGTTTCTTAACAGCTAGCATTTCGTCAACACCGTCATGTCGGAGCTCACGGTATTGCAAGGCTGGTAGTCAGTGCCTGCATTAACCACGTCCGGTTTGGTCCTGCCGAGCACCTTCTGGCACTGCTGCCGCAAAGACAGTTTCTGCTGGGATTCGGCAGGTTCGGGGGATCCGGAGGCGGTGCACAGGATTTCCTGGAATTCTTTCCAGAAGTTTTCGTTGAGGCAGCCGTAGAGAATCGGGTTGGAGCATGCGGAAGACATACCTATACAACAAAGAAATTTTGTTTTGAATGTATTGAAAAATAAATATGTACATATTTTCCGGATGCTTTACTGGGACTTCTTTTATTCGTTCCTATTTTTAAAGTGAATTTAATTTTTATTTAGTATATAATATAAGGCTTTGCATGTCTTACTTTATAAATTCTATGCAAACTTTCTACATATCTAAAATAAAATATATATTAAATAATGATCAGTTAAATAAACTGACAAGTTAAAAGGTTTCAGAAAATTAATTAAAAGAATCATTTAATTAATCTTGTGGATACAAGGGTATCATTGTAAACAAAGAGGCTAGGGCTAAAACAATTAGAGCAGGAAATTAACAATAAAAAGGATGTAAAAGACAGTGACGTAGCTAGCCTCGAGGGGGCCCCGTATCGAAAATCTGGTAGGGGCCCTTATAAGGGAAAAGCTGCTGGCAAAAAAAATTCTGGGTGTCACGCCCTAAGTCTATTTTGGGAAAACAAAAAAAAATTTAGGTTATCATTTAATAAATAATATATGTATACTAGGGTGGTCCATCTTTTGAGAATTTTTGAATTTTCTTCTACCTCGCGCCGCGTTGCAGTGTAAGTTTCCTATACAAATATAAATAACATAGGGTTTTCGGCATTGAATAATTAATTATTTATTCCGGCCAAAGTAACTGTCTAAAAAATTTAAAACTTGTCAGAATTTAACCTTATAATAGTAGAGTGATATTAATATCTCATGGCGGTTGACCTTGAGAGACGCTATAATATTATAACAAATATAATAGAATTTCTAGCCCAGAAATTCTTCTAAATATGTCAATAAATATCAGCATTGTTTACACTATGTAGTATGTTTTTAGGTCGGCGAGTAATAGCGCGATTTGACGGATTTGAGACTTTTGCGCACCCAAGGTCATCCGCCATGAGATATTAATAGCACTATAGCTATTCCTGAGAATTTTTACAGACTTTTAGTTATTATAATTTTAGAGCATCGTTTCTTAACCTCGGGTCGCGACCCAAATTTGGGTCGCGGGCCATATCGAGATGGGTCGCGGGACTTGCGGGAATTTTTGAAAAAGCGCGCCGTAATCACTGCATCCTTAATTTAAATTAAGAAAATGTAGAAAATTGATGATTTTATTTTTTATCGGGTCACGAGCTTCTAATATTTTTGAATTGTGGGTCGCCAGCCAAAAAGATTAAGAAAAGTTACTTTGGCCGAAATAAATAATTAATTATTCAATGCCGAAAACCCTGTTATTTATATAGGAAACTTACACTGCAACGTGGCAAGGGTTAATATTGAGATAGGGACTTGAAACTTGGAAAATATTTTTTTTTATATTAAACACTATGAGTAACTGAGAGCAAGAAAATTCAAAAATTCTCAAAAGATGGACCACCTTAATGTATATCCTTTTATGAACAGGAAAATTTTAAAATTTGGTCTGGTTTCGAACATTTACCGTTCTACAACATCTTTTTAAAGGTATTTTAAAATAAAGGCGTCATTTGAAATAATTGTAACGCTAATAATAATTTCTAATTTGCTATTAATATAACACGCAAAGCAGCAACAGAACAATATGCGCAGACTGCGCCGCAGACAACAAATAGCGGAAAGGTGCGGACAGAAACAATTCGTATGAGTTCTCGGCCTTGTTGGTTTAATTTAATAAATCGAAGTATAAACAATTAAATAATAATATTATTTATTTATTTAATTTCATGTCTTTTTTTAACATGTGGGTAATATGTTTTTTCTTACGCATGTCGAAGCCAATCGGGGGCCCCCCCTAGCTGGGGGCCCCGTATCATTGATACGGCTGATAAGGCGGTAGCTACGCCCCTGGTAAAAGAAATGACTCTTTCGGATTTAAACATTTTAGAAGAAAAAGAAAAATTTAATGTATGTATTATAATAATAAACAAGAAGTGACCATTTATTTTATTCTAATTTTAAATAAGTATAAATTAAATAAAACATCAAAAATATTATTCAAATTAAATTTTATAAATTCGCAAAATAATCTTGTATTAATTGATTTTGAAACATAATGCGATCTTGTGGATGAGTAACAACAGGGTAATCCAGTTCATGGCATTAATATCATCAGGCAATGGCGGCTCTGGTTTATTCATGTCTCTAGCAATATTATGCAGTACAGCTGCAGCTGGAATAATGGACAAAACTGTATCTAGTTTTAATCTTAAGCCATATGCCAACACTGGAAACCTTATTTTCCAAATTCCAAATACTCTTTCTATTATATTTCTGGTTCTTAGTAGTGACTCATTAGAGTTGCTGACCTCTATACCTATAACTATAGAACTATAATTTTATTGGATTTGCTAAAGATGTCAATAAATATTATCTTTGGAAAAAAAAGATCTTGAATACCGATGTCTGGTACTTTTGAGGTTATAAATCGTTAACGGTGGATTAAAGTAATTTAAACCTCCGAAATTGGGGGTTTATTTTAACAGTAGTTTAGAGGTAAACAAGGATTAATTTACGGTGCAAGCCAGTTATGAAAAATAAACCTGTGCACAGCTGTGTTAAAAATAAAACCACTGTTAAAAACTTACGGTGCAAGTGGCCATAATATAAATAAAACGATCGGATTTTTGAGTAAATGCTGATATTCTACCAAAAAATTTAAATAAAGTTCCTATGAACAAACATCCGTTTCTTAGTTTTATTATTTGTTTTTTACTTGGGTTTCCTTCCTAAATGAAATTTTAATGAGAAAAGAAAAAAATTATTAACTCGGCAATTAATGGACATGCAACAATTTAATATATATTATAAAACATATTTTTGTAGAACATTTTTTGCCCTACAAAAATGTTTTTTATGTTTTTTTCACAACAATCCATTTGAATGAAATTTAAAATAAATCAAAATGAAAAGTATCGTCATTATCTTTTTTTTTTCTGAATTTATAAGTAGCTTTTATTGCTTTTTTATTATCTAAATTATTTTTTTACAGTTTAAATACAACTTAAAAATATAAGTTTTCGTTGAGGCAGCCGTAGAGAATCGGGTTGGAGCACGCGGAAGACATAGGTACCTATACAAAAAAGAAATTTTGTTTTGAATGTATTGAAAAATAAATACATATTTTCCGGCTGCTTTACTAGGACTTCTTTTATTCGTTCCTATTTTAAAGTGAATTTAATTTTTATTTAGTATATAAACGGCTTTGCATGTCTTACTTTATAAATTCTATGAAAACTTTCTACATATAGATCTATATCTAAATATATATATATATATATATATATATATATATATATAAAGGGTGGGCCATCTATAAGTTGAATTTTAAACCACGTGCTATTAATAAAGCTTTCAACTTAAGCGCCATGAATTGTTGACAGTTAACCTTCCGATTACAAAATATGCACCAAATAAATTTGGATCAACGTTTCGAAATACTCAAAACATACTTTGAATGTGACTGTGATCGCAGAGACGGCAAGGAAATTGCGTTTGGAAGAAATGAGGCGCCGTCAAACCAAAGTATTACAAATTTGATCAAAAAATTGGGCAGAAATGGAATGCTGGTCGACATAAAACATGTTTCGCATGCTCGTCCTAGACGTGCATTTTTACCTCGGAGGTTATGTCAACAAGCAAAACTGTAGGATTTGGGCCACGAAAAATCCACACGTCGCCGTAACAAAGCCTATTCACCATTTAAAACAAAACATTCAAGCTCAAATTGCCTAAATAGAGCAGCAAACTTTTGACAAAGTGCTCGAATAAAACATATTTTCGTAGAACATTTTTTGCTCTACAAAAATGTTTTTTATGTTTTTTTCACAACAATCCATTTAAATGAAATTTAAAATAAATCAAAATGAAAAGTATCGTCATTATCTTTTTTTCTGAATTTATAAGTAGCTTTTATTGCTTTGTTATTATCTAAATTATTTGTTTACAGTTTAAATACAATTTAAAAATTTTTTTTTTTCAGATGTTGTTTAACCCTGCCTAAATGATTTGTAATGTTTAATTATTTTATATATCTTAAACTTTGATGTAAAAAAAATAAAATGAAAATTTAAAGTATATACACTCACAGGCAACATAATCGATCCACACAAATTTTCGATGAATTTCAATCTCAAATAACTTTTTTATTTCATGTCGGATTTAAACGAATATTAAAGAATATTGTAGATAAATTAATGGAGAATCGCTCACATTTTAAAAAGTTACTAAAAAATAGTCGTACGTAAATAATAAACAGGTTTAAACAAAAAAAAAAAAGTTTTTTACCATAAGTTTAAGACACTCTGTAGAGTGGCAAAACCGTATGTTGTTTTAAATTAAGTTTTATTTATCAAGTCACATCTATTCTTAACAGTCTTGTTTTTGGTTTATCTGGATATATTTATTTTTGTGAAAAATATGGATTGTTTGAGAAAACATTGCAATTTTCAATATTTATAACTAAGGTTGCTATGGTCCATCCATAGCCTATGGAGGATGTGGACAGTGACAGTTTTGTTGAATCATCCCATACTTGGACATATCATATGCGGCTTTTAAAAGCTACAAAATTGTTTTTTGTAAATTAATGTTTTACTTTTCAAATGTCTTCTTACTTTTAAAAATGGATATGTCTCCGACTGATGTTGCCATAGCCATTGCTTTAATCCAGGATGGAAATGTCACAAGAAGTAAAGTACAAAGGGCGGCATCAGTTGGAGACATATCCATGTTTAAAAGTAAGAAGACACCTTAATAGCTTTTCATTGTCATCCTCCATAGGCTATGAATGGACCATAGCAACCTTAGTTCTTCGCACAGAAAAAATATTGAAAATTGAAATGTTTTTTTTTAAAATCCATATTTTTCACAAAAATAAATATATCAAGCTGAACCAAAAACAAAACTGTTAAAAATAGATGTGACTTGATAATTATTTAGAACAATATACGGTTTTACCACTCTACAGAGTGTCTTAAACTTTTGGTAAAAAACATCT